CCGCTCATAGCGCATTCCTTAATGGCAAGTGTGACTATGAACATCAAGTATCATAATAGAACTAGTTGAAGAAATATATGCCGAGAGAATGCTCTCGGCATTTAAGAATGCTGGTTACGAGTATGTTGCTTTAACGCGGGAGTTAAGCAGTCAGATTCGCCAAATTCGTGGAGAACATTCTATGGGCGCCTGTGTTTGCGCTAAACTGTTATGATATCCATGTTCACAGAGTCAAACTAGTGACAGATTCCCCGCAAAATCGTTTTTCTGGGTTTCGTGTATACCACCACAACAATACTCCATTGTAGACTCTGATCGCTTCGCAGCTTACCTGTGAAGTGCAGGCAGCGGTGTTAGTTTCCATATTTGTAGGCAGCACTTCAAAGCCTCTTAGTAGGCGCCATTCGAGGTTTCATGTGGAGTTGAATTCCTTTCCTGGTTAGAATCTGTTATGACACCATATAGCAGACTACTTTTGTTTTCATGCTTTTGTATTCCTTTAATATTAATTCTCACCAATTTATTTCATTGACCAACCTCGTCGGAGGCTGTGTAGTGGCTAGAACATAGCTTTTCGGGCACCGAATATGGTTAGATAGGCTATCGGCGCCCAGCCCAGCAAGCGTTCCATCTATACGGCGTCGGCAAATTTTTATTCGAGTCAGCTGGAGAAATTAAAAAACTTACCTTTTCCTTATTTTCCTTATCTACCGTGGGCTCTCTTACCCCATCATTTGACTTTATCCTTAACGTCTTCATCTACCATAGGTTCTCGTACCCCGTCCTTTTTATTACCTTCTTATTCTTTCTTCTTTACATTCGATTTTATACTTATCATTCGAAAAATTTTCCTGTTCTAGGACATAATCACTACGTGATGTGTGCACAGTTTCACCCTTCTGAAGATCTCGTAGCATCGGCTTCACTTGACCAGACTGTACGTATTTGGGACATCTCCGGATTGCGTGAGTTATACTATGAAATTCTAGTTGATATTTACTTGTTAGGTTTTTGCTCTGCATGGAAGGAAGCGACTGGAACAGTTCCAATCGCGAAAATCTTTTGATGTGAGCTTACGAAGTGTTGGAGGCGCCTGAACTTTGGATTCTAACTAAGCTCAAAAGATCCAAAAGAAAATACTAATAAATATCGCTGCAGTATTTTTTGTTACCATTCAATTTAATTTTCAGGAAAGAAACAGCTACCTGGTGGTGGCGGCAGTGCACCCAGATCGGGAACGGGACCGCAGTCACAGGCTGACTTGTTTGGACAGCCAGATGTTGTCGTGAAGCACGTCTTGGAAGGCCATGATAGAGGTATCATTGTAGTACTGCTAGAGGTAGTAGAGTTATATGTGAAGAGTACAGATTCCACTGGTGGCGTTTTACAGGTGTGAACTGGGTAGCTTTCCATCATTCTATGCCCATTCTCGTCTCAGGATCAGATGATCGTCTAGTCAAACTGTGGAGGTACAATGAATCTAAAGCCTGGGAGGTATGCGGTATTCGGCAACATATGTATCGATGGTAGTGCAGTTCTCGTTTGAATGAATCTGAAAGTTCCTGATTCAGGTGGACAGCTGCCGCGGTCACTACAATAATGTGTCGTCTGTTCTATTCCATCCGAAAGCTGAGTTGATTCTTTCAAACTCTGAGGATAAATCGATTCGAGTTTGGGATTTGCAGAAAAGGACAAGTCTTCATGTTTTCAGGTTTGCTACCCACAAAATATTCCTGGCAGAACATTCTTCAAACGTTCCAATTAACTTTATAGACACGAGAACGAGCGATTCTGGGTGCTGTCTGCTCATCCAAATCTCAACATGTTCGCTGCTGGTCATGATAATGGCATGATTGTCTTCAAGATTCAACGTGAAAGACCGGCTTACTGCATTGCTGAGAATCTCGCATTCTATGTCAAAGACAAGCAACTTCGTCGTCTTGATCTCACTACCAAGTAGGATTTTTCAGAAGACCTTGCTTCTTTCTGAAGTTGCTCCGATTTTTTTTATTTTGTTTCTTCTTGCTAACACTCATAAGTCACCACAGCGACATAAGCTCCAAATCCCTGAAAAGCGTTGCTTCGTGTCATTTGAACTAACGGCACTCGTGCTATTGCTGGGATAGTTTCAGTTCTGGACCAAGGCCCTTGTAATCATGTTATTGTTCATCGCAAGACGTGACGACACTTCCTCAAATTGAAATATCCCCGAATAACACATCCTACACCAGGTCCAGATGAAGTACGTGACCACGCCTACCGCGTTTCAGGGATACGCAGTTTAATTGATTTCTTGTGATTACCCTCGCGTCACGAAGTGCGGCGATGAACCAGTTAACCCAAAAATTAAATTCAGATCGGATTATCCAACGAACTTATGTTTTTGGAATCTTTTATCTAACAGACTTGTTCGGCATGAATAAAGAAAGCAATTCAATGTCATTACTAAGGTTTTGAGAATCTACAGCTACCAATGAGCTCTTTTTTCAGCAAAGACCAAGGAACGTGCAAACTTCGTACGGCGGCGGCATTCATGCAACCTTATTATGCGTTGTCATACAATCCAGCCGAGAACGCCTTTCTGCTCACTAGCCGCTCTCACAACAAAGAGCAATGCTTCTACGACATCTACAGAGTTGGTTTTCCGTGTCGCTTATTACCTTGTATTTATACTTACCATAATGAATGACGCACTTCTTTTGTCGCCCATAAGTGAATGGCGCAGTGCTTTTGTCGCCCAGAAGGAGATCTGTGGGTGTAAGGGTAATGACTCCACGCAGAAAGAGGCGAGAGAAAGTTGCAGGAATCAGAGCGCGAATAGATTGACGGCACATTGTTTTTTTTTGTACTTTACAGTCCTGTTTCTGGCTATGGTTTTCGAACTTTATTCCGCATGTTAAGGATTCGTTTTTGAAGAAGGGAAACGAATTTTACCGCAGTTTGCAAGTCCCTGAAGGCAAGCCGTACCCTCACCTCCAATAGTCCTTGTCATGAGGGAGGTGAATGGATCCACAGCTGCACCAGCGTGCCATTTTCTCGATCAGAACTGCCCAGTGAGCGTGTGGCTGGCAGCCAGCCCTGTTTCGGTGCCTGTTTGAGTGGAGAAAGTGGCACGCTACTGCAAAACGCTACTGCGAAACCTATTTACCTTGCCTACGGCAAGGGTCAGCGGCGGGTTGCTAACATGCGGAATAAAGTTCAAAAACCATAGCCAGAAACAGGACTGTAAAGTACAAAAAAAAACAATGTGCCATCAATCTATTCGCGCTCTCATACTGCAATTTTCTCTAGCCTCTTTCTGCGTGGACGCAGAGGTGATTGTGCAGTTTTGTTATTGCCGCGTTTGAGGTCTCACTTAGTTGAGTATTGCTCTCGCTTCTAGAGAATTCTTCAGAAAGCAGCTCACTAACTCAACTGCCTATTGTCACAGGCCATGAATGTTTTTGAAGAATTTTCGGCACTATTGAACTATTCCTACCCCAGAACACTCAAAAAATTTTTTTCGCTGAAACGTTGCCTATAGATGTAATTCGATGCGCTGATCACGAATATAACATCCGTTTCGAGCGCTGGCGTCATTATGCGCCAATTTGGCGCCCACCACTTTTTTCACCAAAGTTGATGAAAACTTGCATATGGGGGTTAATTGAGGTCCTGATTACGAATATCACACTGGTTTCAAGCGCTGGCGCCACTGGGTGCCATTATGCGCCAATATGCCAAATTGGCGCGTAATGGCGCCAAATGGCGCCAGCGCCGAAAATGAATGTTGGATTCGTAATCAGGACCTCAATTAACCCCCATATGCAAGTTTTCATCAACTTTGGTGAAAAAGTGGTGGGCGCCAAATTGGCGCATAATGGCGCCAAATGACGCCAGCGCTCGAAACGAATGTGATATTCGTGATCAGGGCATCGAATTACACCTATAGGCAACGTTTCAGCGAAAATTTTTTTTGAGTTTTTGGGGTAGGAATAGTTCAATAGTGCCGAATTTTCCGTCAATATCACTTGTTTGTTTGTCTGCACTTCATTGATGTAGAGAATTCGTTTGTAGGTGCCCAAGGATTCAGACGGAAACACAGAAGCCCCAGTGAATAGATCACCAGGAATCGCTGCTGTGTGGGTGGCTCGAAACAGATATGCTGTTCTGGATAAGAACCAGCAGGTGCTTATCTACTTACCCAAGCTGCTATAGTTTTTCTTCTTCCAATTCAGTATACGCAAGATTGAAATGAATATCCCCATTGACGATTTGTTCTATGCGGGTACTGGTGTGATTCTGCTGAGAAATGAAGAGGGTCTGCAGTTATTCGATGTGCAGCAGAAAAGGGTGATGGCACATGTGAAAGCCAGCAAGGTAAGGGATGCGAGTTGTTTTGAGTTGACAATTTTTGAGGTGCGGCAAAATCAACTGTTCCAATTGACTTCAGGTGCGATATGTAATCTGGTCGAAGAATATGGAATATGGTGCTCTGCTTTCTAAGCACACGCTTACGCTCATCAATCGGAAGTTGGAGGTATCTTTATTGAATTTTGGTTGATTTTTTTCTGATTTCTTGAAATCTCGATGGGACTTCACCTTGCCATTCACATGTTTGTCCTGGGATGGTATATTTAGTTCTGGGAGATAGGCAAGACAATCGTAATTTGTCGCGCCGTTGCGCGCCGTGAGGCGTTCGCGGGAAGTTTTCGAAGAACATGAGCCAGTCGATTGGAGCAACGATGCTCGTGTAAATTCAAGCAGATTCAAAACTCTATGCCGAGTTATACCAATTTTTCCCGTCCCTGCAACATTTGAATCCCAGTGGCCGAACAGAACAACTCGTCTCTTGTGTGCCGTTCGCCACGCCCAGCGCTGCATAATACGATTGTATTGTCCCATACCCGCCAGTATTAATTATTTTTCTGCCTTTGCTCCAATTTATGTTACTCCTTTGACGAATGTTGTTTTTCAAGAGTCCTCTCTTTTCTAGGTGCTATGCTCTCAAGCAAGAGTCCACCCGTGTGAAAAGTGGTGCTTGGGATGATGACGGCGTTTTTCTGTACACTACTAGTAATCATATCAAGTAGGTACTATGATTATTGTCCGCTTAGATATTTAAGTTTAATTCATTCAATTTTCTTTGAAGGTATGCGCTCACTGCAGGAGACTGCGGTATTGTTCGTACCCTCGACCTACCATTGTACGTCCTAGCAGTCCGTGGCAGCATTTTGTACTGTTTGAATAGGTCAGTTTCACTGCTTCTTTTTTTCTACTCTACGACCACTTGATATGAATCAGTCGCGCCTTTTAGAGAGGCGACTCCCGTCGAAGTGCCAATTGATCCGACGGAGTATCGATTCAAACTAGCGCTGATTAATCGACGTATTGATGAGGTTGCTTTGTTTAGCATTGGAAATAACCGTCTAAAAAGTATCGATTTTCTACCTAGGTGCTAAATATGGTCAAGAGCTCAACACTGGTTGGCCAGTCGATTATCAGCTATTTGGAAAAGAAGGGTTATCCAGAAATCGCATTACATTTTGTGAAGGATGAGCGAACTCGTTTTGGTCTCGCTCTTGAATGCGGAAATCTCGATGTGGCTCTCGAGGCAGCCAAGGTTAGGGTTTATTTTTTACTTCGACGATTTGTTAACTTCTGCTTGCCTTCACGAATCTTCATAGTCTCAATCCAATGTTCCATAATTCCAGATTTGCGATGACAAGGCTATATGGGAAGCGTTGGGTGAGGCGGCTCTGATTCAGGGTAATCATCAAGTCGTCGAAATGGCCTACCAAAGGACGAAGAATTTCGAGAAGTCCGTGATTAGAGTTTACGATGGGATCAGTTTCCGGAGTACGCTGAAGATCACCTGTTTCAGGCTGTCATTCTTGTATCTTGTCACCGGCAATAGTGAGAAGCTTTCAAAGATGATGAAGATCGCCCAGATGAGGAATGATGCGCACGGCCATTACCAAACAGCCCTGTATCTCGGTGACATAGAGGAAAGGATCAAAGGTGAGTGCAAATCCAGGTGTGGGAAGTTATGCCGCAGTTGTGCGAGGCTGTAACTGGTGGCTTATCTTCTAATTTGTGCCGCAATAGAACGCCTACTATCTGTACAGTATACTTGATTAAACCGCCTGTCACTGCGATATAGTCACTGTGCTCGATTTCCATCTCAAACTGGTAACTTGTGCCAGACGTACGAGCCCGCAAATGAAAAAATGAGCGGTGATTTGGGCTCTGGATCATATTTAAGGCACCATTCGTCATATTGGTTTAAACATTGCGGACCGACGTACTGCGCGCACGTCCTAATCATTTCAAACAACTCAAAGTTATTTTTTTTTGCCGCAAATTAGAATCCCTGCAATTGTCGCATAGACGCAAGGCGTGCAGAAAGACGGTAAACGTCGCCAACCTTGCTTGGGCGTGCGGTGGTTCAGCTACGCCTTCTCGGCTCGCCTTATCTCCGGTCGTTCACTCGTGAGGCTGCGATCACAGCGTGCGCCGCTTCTGGGTTACCGCCTTAGTCGCCTTCGCGCTTTTGGCTTCTTAGGCACTTGCCAATAAGAAATCGGGGCAGTGTGTCCACAGCTGCTCATCGCCTTTCTTTTTGCCACAGACGATTGCACTTGTGCCATGAAGACAGCTGAGCTGGTATTCGGAATGGAACAGTGTAATTAGAAAGAGGCTAGCCTTCGGACTGAACCGTCCCACAAGGTGTAATACACGTGTAAGCTATGAAAAACCTTTACTTGATGACGAAAACAACAAGAATCAAAAGTTGCTACAACGGAAATCTGGCTATTGATATGGCATGGTATGCAACTTAGAGTTGCGGCGTTTCCTACTCTGAGTCAAGAGGTCACATAGAGATGCGAATGTATACCGTATTGCTAGCCGTACCAGTATGCGTGAGTCACCGCCGCACCTTCCTAGGTGAGGGCCGTGAGAAATCAAAGAGAAAGGAGATCATAGTCACTGATTTCGCATGGCATAAAGTGTTAAATATCGAGGCAATATCTATTTATGAATAAATATATCACATTAAATAGGTAGCAAGATAGTTGTATTTACATGAGATCTGGCCTAATCGAGGGGCTCTCGGCTAGTGCGGTCCCAATTCCCCCACAGCCCAGAGTAAGAGGGAGACGGTCAAAACAATCGTAATTCACCGCTTTATGTCATATTCGTGGCCTTCCCTAGTTTGCGAGAGTGGATACAAAACTGTTAATTCAGAGGCAGCGCTGGACCTTTTATCCATGGTTTTTTGCTCATATTCTCAGTGGCTGAAAGGTGTTTGTCAGACGGCCGTCACTTGCTTAGTCCTCACCGCGGCACAACCAATGTCATGAGGAAGAAGCGAGTTTTTGGGGCGAGCGCGCCGATTAGAGTCTAATGGACATGAACTATTCCTCCCGTGGATCCTAAGCAACAGCTTCTGCGTCCCCATTCGCCACCAGTTTGCAAGGTAAAGCTTTGCAGCTTCAAATTGGTTAGGTCTTTTGTCAAAAGGTTCAAAAGGTTCACGTTTAGTTGGAAGAGAACTGGCCTCTCCTGCTACTGCAGGTCGTTGAAACTGCTTGGTCCTTGTACCTCGCGGCGAAGGCAGAGAGCTGCCCCGGAGCGGAGGTGTCCCCACAAAACCTGCGCCGCGGCTTGCGTTTGCGTGTTGCGGGGATGATCCTTGAGGTTTGTTAGACTAGGGTTTTCGGGTAAAGAAATGCCATAGCGCGGGGTATCTAAAAGCTTGAATCATTTTTAGATGGACGGTAAGGCGGCAGGCATGGGAGAGCGAAGGAGAGCTACCTTGTTGGCGGAGTGATGGAGTAATTGAGGTGAGCTGATAAGCTCATTGCTTCAACCCTGCCAAGCACGCCGCTACCTCTTATTTTGCGTAGATGTGCACAGTAATTGTTGGAAATCTCACTGAAGTCACAGGTTTTCCATTTACCTATTCAGGTTGACGATGACGATATTCTAGCTGGAACTGCTGAAGAAGGAGAGGCAGGATGGGATGTGGAGGACGACTTGGCCATTCCTGATGTGCCTGCAGGAGTCGGAGCTGAAGGTCCGCTTAGGCTTCCTCAGCGGTTGCCACATTTGTAATCAGAGCACGTCCTAGGTTGGGGAATCTCCTGCGGGAGCCCTATTTGGCCGTTGCAAAGAGGGAGGGGGGCGTATCTGATCAGAGGAAAATTTTCTTGATTGTTGGTTTTTCATGTTTCAGGGAAACTAGAAATTTTGTGGAGTTTGTGGAGGGGAGGGTTCAATTTTCCGAAAATTTTCGCCTAGCGGCAGGATGTGCCCTGTTTCTTATGGCCGTTGCTTGTAGCTTAATCTTTTTAGATGTTGTTGTACCGAACCGTGCCCAACCTCCTCCGTCACATTGGCCGGCGAACAGCCGTCTTGTGGCCGATCATGTTGCTGCCGGATCGTTTGAATCCGCGCTTCGTCTGCTTCACGATCAACTTGGTGTCGTGAACAAGATGCCGTTCAAGGAGATTTTCATGGCTACCTATGCTTGGTACGTTAATCTTTGGAATATTTTTATATCTTCACAATACCATTCAGCAATTGCAAGAATTTCAGCTCACGTGTCTCATTCACTGCATTGCCAAATACCAAAGTGCTTTTCGGTTACCCACTAAGAAACTGGCAAGAAGCGTCTGGAAAGTGAGTAAAGCTCTGAAGTTATCGGGATGTATCCTTGACTGATTGCCTTTTTTACAGGAGTGGTCTTCCAGCAGTTGCGGTAACCCTTGCAGATTTGGCATCACGGCTACAAGGGTGCTACCATATGACAACTGCGGGTAAATTTGCAGATGCCATTGATAAACTGCGAAAAATTCTTTTGTTCGTTCCGATGCTCGTTGTCAGCTCAAAACAAGAGGTAGTTTTTCCGTCTTTTTGCTTTGCGGTTTGTGAATGTCGAGGTTTCTGAAGCATAGCCGGTTATAAGTTGCTTTTAGGTTGCGGAAGCCGAACAGCTCATTGAAATCTGTAGAAATTATCTGGTTGGTCTAGTGATGGAGATGGCGAGAAAGGTATGGTTCTACGGAATATAGTTAAAGAGATCCGAGCCACGGCATAGCGCGCAAACCAACCAAGCATTAGCGCGCAAACTAGCATAGCATTTGGCGTCAAATCAACTAGGTCATTGTACCTTCCATCTTGTATTGTTTATTTCTCGGCTTTGTCTCGAAAATTTCATAATTCTTTTCGTTATAAGCTCTGAGGGTCACTGGCAAATTCTTACTATGTAGCCCACTCATTCAGTGATCCATAAAACTCGAAACAAAAGAAAACGCTTACCATAGACTGCCGAGTTTTCTCAATGAGAGCCGTAAAATAAATGACATAGGACGCAGGCTGCGCCGGCCTGATTGTACTGACGTCAAAGTCCAGCTTTGAGTCAACCAACTAACTGTATGCCATGGCGAATTATCGTGAATCTCATCTGCTGATTGTTCTCGGGGGGGGGGGTCACATAAATGGTTTGAATGCTAGCTGACGTTGGTTTATTTCCAGGAGATACCAAAGACTACCCCAGCTGATCTGAAACGAAATGCTGAGATGTTGGCGTACTTCACGCACTGTGAACTCCAACCGGTTCATCGGATTCTCACGCTAAGGACCGCTATAAATGCGTTCTTCAAACTGAAGCAGATGCGAACATGTGCTTCGATGTGTAAACGACTTCTGGAGCTTGGTACGTAGAAGTTTTTTCGTTTTCGTTGCTATAAACATTTTTGAAAAAGGAAAGAATTCCTGTGAATTTATTCGAACTGTTTTAGTGAGCAGTACCTGCTTGCTGCCTCCCCCTAGCTTTTAACGCTGTCAAAATCTATTATCATTATTTTTTCTCCCCATTTTTTCCATAAGCACTACACTTCTTGCATTTAGGCCCAAAACCCGATGTTGCTGCTCAGGTAAGAAAAGTGCTCGCAGCAGCTGAACAGGATAACAAGGACCCCCATCAGGTAAGCAGTTTTTTTCCTTTTTTTACAAAGGTGTTCATGAGATCCACATTACGGCGTCGCGGCAAAAATTGACATCACGCGCGACATATGCACTGCGCGCTGCAACGGAGAGGTGATGACCGCGCTCATATATAGTGCCATTGGAGAGTCGGGAAATCCGCGAAAAGAAACATATACATGTCGATGATGGGACCAAACGGAGTTTTCGAATCCGCTTAAGGAACCTAAAGTGGAAAGAAGAATGGTAGAAGTTAGAGCCGATCATTTTGCTCCGCCCACCGGACATTTTGGGAGGGCTGGAGAATGGGAGAAGAATAGCCAGTAGATAGATATTGATATTGCCGACTTTTCATAAGTGGAGAGTAGGCGAAGTCGATCTGAATATAGTCCTCGAGAAGATTTCTGATTCCCTAGTTCTCCCACTTTGTAAGTCGGCGCTGTCCATGAAGAGCCCTTACCACGTCACCGCGCGCATGACAATTTCTGTGCGAAGTCGCAGTGTGGACCTCCTGACCGTTATGTCCATAGCTGTTATCTATAGAAACTATTGTAGCCCTTTTTCAGCTGGCTTACGACGAGCACAATCCATTTGTTGTCTGTTCGCGTAATTATGTACCGTTATACCGTGGAAAACCTCAATGCAAATGTCCATTCTGTGGAGCGTCGTTCTCTGTTGGCTTGGAGGGTACCGTATGCGATGGCCGGGCCGGGGCTGTTGTTCAGGTAGCAGAAATCGGAAAGGATGTGATTGGTCTCCGGATTTCTACTCTCCAAAAATAGAAACTGCTCTGGAATATGATTGCACTCACTTGTTTTACCTTCTCTTTTTGTATAGGGGTTCCTATTGCTTGTTATCGTTATAATAGCCATCTATTTATTGTAGATAAAGAACTACAGTGCCGACCACCGTATATATCAAGGTAGAATCCCGGATTTTCTCGTAGGGAAACACCTTGCATGTAACGACGTGTATCCTACTCGGCTGCTGTTATGGTTAAGGGTTATAATATACTTGAGAGAATTATTTATTATTAAAAGAGCACGGTTGGACAATACAATTTTTCCGCTATATTTATTTTTGTGCTTTTAAAATATGTGATAAATTTGATTGTTTGACCAATGTGATAAAAGTTTTTTTCATGTCTTTCATACTGAGGGTGGAATGAACGCTAAACGACTTGGCGAAATGGAAAAGTCTTCTACCGCTGGGGAGTAGGAGTGTCACTAAAGCCCTCCCCTCAAACTTTCTCAACTGCTGCGGTTGTAGTCTATCAACGTTCTCTTAGGTTTCTAGAGGTTTACAACGGACCAAGTACTGTTGCCTTCTGGAAAGGGATTCCATAAGTGTTGTGGCGTATGCTTTACTCTCTTCCTTCCCTTTCCTCTCCTGTAAGTTTCTTCAGGAAAATTGGAGGTGGTCGAAGGAGAGCAACTTTCCGGTCAATCCCAGCGACCTAACTTCTCATGACATATCCTGGTTCCGAAGCCATATGAGGGAACGCACCAACCAAGATCTTCTGTATTCTTTTCTTCCCGATGCAAGCGAAAAGGCTTACACATACGAAAAACTAAAATCTCCCGGAAAAACACCTGAAATGACCTTGCGCCGTGGTCTTGATTGTGCTAGGAAGGTGCAGTTTCGCGCCGACGGGAGCATTACTTTCTCGAAGCCGATAACGTCACGTGAAAGTACTACCGGGCTGTAAGCAGAAAGTAATCTCTCTGGACGTCATGACCGTACAATCACTGCAGCCGAAGGGGAATGGGACAGCTCTACCATATTCTGAGGTATTGAATATATCAAGTAAGTGCGATGTGCTTCTTCAGACTGCTGTCCATAAGCGTGCCTTACGGTGCGCCACTAAGCAAACCGTAACTTCAGCAAATGACGTTAGGCGGGTCAGTGATGTATACCGATCAATTATTGATTTTTTTTTCTTTCTCATGAACTCGAGCACTGCCGTAGAAACGTCGTTCGTGTTGCCCTATGGTAAAGAGTAGTGTGTCCATAATCGCGGCACCAGTCAGAAGAGGAAAGTAGGCAGACGCGGCCATTTGAAATTATTAGATTTGGTGCAATTTGACTGACAAGGTGATGCATACCGATCGATTATTGATTTCCTATTCAGATTTATACCTGGATGTAGTAGTAGTGTGTTCCCCTACAGAACACCTCTCTGGCTTCGTTCAGAAAGGTCTGCAGCAGATGTGGAGGTCGGATTTCTAGTCGTTATCGAAGACACGTCAAAAGGTTTACATTTCATTTCACACGGCCACTTCGACCTACCACTTTCCCCTTATAAGTCACCATGTCATGTCTGTGCTTGTCTGTGCTCTCTTACCGAGGCAGAGTGACATGTTTTAATATGGCTTTGCCTTCCTCAGAACCTGATGTGGATAAGTCTCGATCGGAGTGTTCCTCTCCGAAGCCGCAGCTTCGGCAACGGGGGGGGGGCGTTTTGCACTTCTGCTGACGTGTCGACCTATCTAGACAGCCTCTTCTCGAGTTGACAGGTTTTAACATGATGGCTTGACGACCTTGCTCCAGCTTCACAAGAGTTCACAGGTTTCGCCAGAGTGAGACATGTAAACCGGAACTAAGGAAGCAATGATAGTACAAAATGCCCCCCCCGTCGCGGAACTGCCCCCCCCCTTCCGAGACATATAGCACCACCATATGCACATTGTTACGTTTCCCAAATGAATAAGATTATACACTTGGTAACTCGTTCAAGTTGCATCAATTAATTTTATACAAACGAATCGGTTCTTCATTATGCACATTTCGAAATCAAAATTAATTCGGCTCTTAATGCTTTTTCTTCCTTTTTGAACCTTTTCGAGTACTGAAATTAACTCAGTCATTTGTATAATGTTCTTTTAGAATTGGCTACACTTACTCATCGCTGCTCCCTTTTCCTTTTTTCGATTTTTTTCCCTTTTTCTTTCTGGAATAGTATGGCTCATCATTACAATTCTATGGCAAGGATCATACTTGTTTACTAATTATTTACTTCGCAACTCAGCAAGTCAATCGCAATGTTCGAAAATCGCTGGACTCGCTTGATCTCGGGATTTCTCAGTAGCCCGGCTAGCTGCGCCCCATCGCTAATCGTTGCACCGCTGCAACTGCTGATTCAGTCATGTTAGAAGTACAACTCAGAGTAGAGGTTGCAGTAGCCTAATGATTAGCG